TTTCTGGAAGCCCTTGGATGTTGCAGCAGAGTGGGGGCAAGTTAGGACACTGACAGAGATAATGTCAGGATGAGGGACAGTGCTGAAGGAGAGAAGGGGTTGGGTGTGTAAAACACAGAAGGGGTAGAGCTGATGGGACGTGCTCAATTCAGCCACCTGGTTTTCTTCTTTAGGCTTTGTCACTGATGGAAACTCCAAGCTGGTTGGCAGTGCCCAGATTCGCCAAGTGAGGGTCCAGGAAAGCTCTTGCCCTGTTGCCCAGCAATTGCAGGCTTCTCTTGATGGATGCCGTGCACCGTACTCCCTGGATATTGAAGACCTGGCAGACTACGGAGAAGGCTGGAACGCCTCCGCCTGCAATTACAGCAATGGCTTTCCCCAGGCTTGGCAGTACCAGAGCCAGAGCCAGCGTGGTGGGTATCCCATCTGGGGCAAACTCACTGCGTACCGGGGAGGAGGCTACGTGGTCCCCTTGGGAACGGATCGCCAAAGTGCGTTAAGGTAAGCCTGATTTAATTCCTCTGAAGCTGAATAATGCCTTTTGCTAGAGTCCACATCTGGTTGGATGGCCTTCAAAACAGGGCTAAGCCAAGTTCATTCAAGTCCTGGGGGTGGGGGTGGGGCTAGAACTTTCAGGATTTAGAATCATTCAGGTCCTATTTTCACGGTGGAAGGGAAGTCCCTGTCCAGCATTGTTAGTCTGATTGCCTCTGCTGGAGCCAATTGAGAGATGGGGAGCTCACTACCACACAGTGCAGCCCACCATTAGGCAAGAAGAAAGTGGTTAACGCTCTGGCAAGAATTAAACAAGGTCTGAGGTTTTTACCCTGCTTATAAGTTGACCTGTTGCTGTTTCATGGATGCTGACAGAGCACCCAAGACTCCTAGGTCAGAGACAAAGGATTTTGTTACAGCAAAGTAGCAACAGAAAGGATTTTGTTACAGCAAAGTAGCGTTGTAGCATTGGTCTGAGTCAGTCTCCACAAAAGGCCATGCCTGAGTGTGCCTATCACACTCAACTTGGGGCATTCACTGCTTCTATAGCAGCAAAAACAAGCCTGCTCTTTGTTCAAAGGAAGCCTCCACCTCATCCCTGGAGGCTGTACTGCAAACACAGCCCTGAGAAATGGCCTGGGGGTAAAGCCAGGGTTGTTCGGTCCCACAATACTCGGTAAGAACATGCAGGGACACTCACAGACCCAGAAGCAGAGAGCCCTGTATTTGGAACCGTGGGTCTGCTCTAGCGGTGCAGCCCTGAAAATTAGTGGACATGTGCGACCCTCAGTTCCCTCCACTGTATGCTTGTAGGACTTGGGTTGTTTCTGACAGCCAAGCCTGTCCTGCCTACAAACACGGAGGCTAGAGACAGGCCAGGAATGGTCTATTTCAGAATAAGAGGTGTTTTTGCTGCTACTGAGAATGACAAGGGATCAGTCCAGGCGCGGTGGCTCATGCCTATAATACCAGCACTCTGGGAGGCCCAGGCGGGCTTATTGCTTGAGCTCAAGAGTTCAAGACCAGCCTGAGCAAGAGCAAGACCCTGTCTCTAAAAATAGCTGGGCGTTGTGGCAGGC